ACGTTTACTACGCCCATCGTTTACCAACGCAACTAATCTTGCTACTTGTTCAGGATTTATTTGAGGCATTTTATGTAGTTAGTTGCTAGGCAACGGCATTTGTTTTTTTAAAGACAATGTGATCCTACCAGAGTACAACCTAATCGATTTTGAGTACTCTGATCCTTCAATAAATTTAATTTGTGGGATAAGCGTAAGATATCAGCAAAAAATCTGTTATTCGGGAAATTTTAAAGATAATTCAATGAATAAGAAAACAAAATGCTCGCAAAAGAAGCCTCTTTCGTATAGGGTGTATGCACTTCCTATGCCATTACTCAATCAACACACAGGGTGAGTCAAAAATCAAGAATAAATCATGGTTCGAGTTATTCCTCCACCATCAAGCGTGCTTTGAAAAAATTTTCATCTCTTCATTTTTTCAAAGACAAATGCATCACAAAATACAAATACAAAAAAACGGCCTACTATTTTTTTTTAAGACGATAGGTCAAATATCAAGTGCGTCACTTTTTCTGGTACTGAGTGTATTAGATATATGGACTCATGTTAATTCTTGTGTCAATTTTTATATAGATGAAATATCTGTTTTATTCTTTTCAGAAAACAAATACGTCGCAAGAATGGAGTACCTACAGACCTAAGTATTATAATACATAATATAATCTAATACTCGATAGTGTTCCAAAATCTTTTATGAATGAATAATTGAATGAACTGCTCAGAAATTCATTAAGTTAAATGAACTGAGTAGAGAATCAAACTTATACTGATGTAACGTTTGGTGAGTGAGTTATATAAGTAATTGAAAACGTAACAGTTGCCATTAAGGCGCAAAAAGCGCAATAATTGCGACTTTCAACTTCGTTTTGCGCCATTGCGATTTTTCGGGAAAAACTGTGCTTTTTGTTACTTGTAAGAGGTGCTAAATCAGCAGCAACTTTCATTGCGCGCCTACGCACTTGTGCCATTTTGAACAACTGTCGCAATTTTTCGTTGCATTGCAGGACGTCCGGACCTACTTTTATTGGAGTTATGAATGAAATGTTGGCTTTTCGGTATTTTCCACAATATTCATGCATTAGTTGATGCGAATAGAATGTTACTTAGACTGTTCTCATGGTTTTCTACCGGAATCAAATCTTGATAAGAAGTATATAACACAGATTTTTTGACGAAAAAGCAAGCTAGATACCCAAATAACATCATCAGTTTTATCATTTGCGCTCACATAACCTCTTTGAAGTCTCATCGAAGCTTTTAGGCATTTAAAATCTTACTTGGGTAGTCATTTCGATTCAGGGCAATATAACCTGATTATTATTATTATTATTATTATTGCCAAAGATATTATTTGCAGTTATCAAAAATTTGAAACTCTAGATGAACGGCTGTAAACACTGACCACTGACTAGTCGAATGGGCGCATAGGCGTTCAGTTGTCTTTCACGGCATCAAATATCACTGTAAGCCTTCTAGACAAGCAGAAACTTTCATCAATAAATCATTCCAGAATTACGTCATTTGACAGGTTGCTGAGGGGCAAACATTGTATTTTGTCAAGAAATGTCATATACAACCAGAATAAGTGGGATCGTTTTCCTTGGAATCCGAGTTGGAACCAGAGAGAATGGGGAAGACCACTGATTTTTTAAAACGACATTATCATGAACTCGATACTGAAAAACTACCAGTGAATTTATTTTGAATTTTTTCATTCATGCTAAGACGATGAAAAAATAAATTAATATATGTCCATTTCAAAACACACAATTCCTACGCCATTTGAAATATCATCAATTCATTGGTGTGACTGGTGCGACGTCTTAGTCCCAACACGCCTATTGTCCTTGAACTGGCCAATTACACTGCAACACTGCAGAATGACGAGGTATCAGAGAGAGATAGCTACAGTTCGGGACTAATACGTCACGACTCCACCATCATATTTGGCTGTTTGAAATATCGAAAGAAATATGCTGATTTCAAAACGATATAGATTCGATTCCCTTCAACTTCAACTCATAATATTGATTGTACATAAAATGTGAATCATGATTCGTAGATTGAAAGAGGTTTGCACGGATTTCTTCCCTCAGTGGTCTTCCCCATTCCATAATTGTGTTTGGTGAAACTGTTATTATATTGTAGATGTGGCTGGGATGGCCAGGGCTATGCTCATCAAAGGTAACCTCTAACAGATAGTTTGCGTGCCCCTCAAGAAACCATGTCAAAATCACGTGTTCTAGAATAATCAATATAAATTGGAATTTATATCATTGGTAGTCGCGATTTTTCTGAATGAATGAATATACTGTTTATGTTTAGAAAATGTATATCAAGCAAATTCAAGAAACGAAGCAAGCAAGCCAATTGATTTGAGACAAGTGTATATTGCTCTATTCAAATGAAAAATTCTGGTATGATGCAATTAACTTTCGAGGAAATTGATTCGTTTGATTGAAAAAATCGTTTATATCTATGTAGTTATCAGTCGATTTCATCATCAGGAATAATTCACGTGTTGGCCCCTGTAACAAACTGTAGAATAATACATGAAATAATATTTCCTGTATGATGCCTCTGTACCGATTTTGATGAGAACATTCGGTCGCATCGCCACATTCTGGTTAAAACAATACGCCCTTTATACGTATGTCCCAATAGTCATTCATTTATTCATTCATTTGTTACACTGTTCAACCGGTTCAACAGGTTGCCCCATTCACAGAACAGGAGAAAAGGACAAAACAAAAACATAAGCACATATCCTGACTATCTAGTTATTCACTGATGAAGAAGAAAAAACATAAAAAGTTTTGACATGAGTTATTCCACAGCTGAACAGATCTAGATTTCTAGCCACCAAGTTATATGTACGGGAGTCGGACAGTTCGACCACGGGCAAGGTACCTGTTTTAAGTACACCGATCAGTTGGACCACGACCGCTCTTCTAAGAATTAAAACAATCACTATTTTCTTAACATATATATTATTTATTATTGAGATGAATTATAATAAGACATAATTTTTACAATTGCACTTTTTAGTTTTTTGGTGGAACATTTTACGGAATTTATTTTAATATATGTTTCTGCTTGAAAGTTTATTAAGATATTCACAAAATTAAATAAGCTTGGGTGAGAACTATAAAATTTAGAATTATAATGAGATTGAAATGATTCACACGCGTTCGTGGTCCTGTACATATATACTATCTGTAGTACATCAAGCCCAACTTGGGGAAAAACTACTCTCATCATAGATATAAGTTTCTATGATATAATCGCAAAATTTCGATGACTTGGATTACTGGGCTTTATTGAATGCATTTCTTCAGAAAAAAGTTTCCTACTTCATTAGGGTCTAAAAATGGAAGCAAAAAAAAAATAATTTAAGAAAATTGCCTACTTGTGAGTTTTTGTTCGATATTCTGTGACTAAGCCCAAATTTCGAATTTTACGATACCACACGATTGGCACAAATGGAATCTACATCCTATAATTTTTATATTCGGCCACATTATTGAACAAGCGTTATGAATTGCCGTCAAAATCAACAATGACTGTTGAAGGTTTCAATATCAGATCCAAAGTTTTACATTTCTCATTTAACAGTTGAAATAATTTTAAATAACTTGAGCTGTTCTTGTTTGGTAACAATCAAAAAGCAACAGGTATATATAATAGTCACTTCGCAAATTGTTATCAATGCGCGAACCTTGTCATTTTTTGGCATTTGTAGAAAAACTAAATTAACTAGATACTTATGAAGGATAATTATGCTTACTAGAACGTTTGAACGTTACTGAAAGAATTCTATTAAATCGATTAGAACATAAAATGTTAACCTGGTCGAACTGCAGGGTGGGCTTAACTCGACCTCTTTCAAAAAAGGATTAATGCAGGTACTCGTGGTCCAACTGACCGGTCCCCATATGTACTACACATCTTATACAAAGGTGAATTTTTATATATGTTGGTTCGAGGAAACTCTGAGTAGAATGTATCACAATTTCTGGATGATAATCTCGGAATAATATAAAATTCAATTTTTCGAACAAATCTGCACAATTAATTAGATTGGATCAGGTCTTCTTGCGTGAAGGCTTACAAATTGGAAAGTTTCAAGAATCTCTCCATGGGGTGTACCAATTGGAGGGTATGTACCGCATGACCTTAAAAATCGTCGTTGCAGACTTTCAAGACGATCAGTATTGTTCCGATAGTATGGGCTCCAAACAACCGATGCATATTAAATCTTCGAACGTATAAAACAGTAATACAATTTCTTGAGAATATTCATCTCTTTAAAATCACGATTGTTTTGGGATTGAGTCAATATAATCATATTAAACGATATGGATTGATCAGATGTAACGCCAAGATCTTTGAATGTTATAGGTCTCAGAAGAGAATTAAGTAATTGAATATTATTAATAATATTGGATCCAATTGGATCCGACTTCAATGTGAAGTACATGACATTTCATTTGACGGGATTGAGTTCTAAACTGTTATTTTCGCACCATTCTACAACTCGGCCCAGGTTGTCAGCAAGCTGTTAACAATCATCTATGTGATTCACGCACCTATATAATTTCAGGTCGTCCGCATATAGCAAAAAGTGTACGTCAATAATATTACCATTGTCGTTAATGAACATGTTGAGAAGTAGTAGCCCCAGATTGGAGGCTTGTGGTACGCCAGATGCTGCAAGATATTCGACAGACTTGTAGCCGTTCAACTGGATATATTGTTCACGATTAGTGAGGTATGACTTGATAGGTTAGCTAGAGAGAGAGATAAGCCAACTGCTTTCAGTTTGGTTTATGAAAATTCGGTGGTCAAGTCTGTCGAAGGCTTTGGAGAAGTCGTTGTAGACGACGTCTGTTTGCGCACGATTCTCAATATTCTTAGGAATGTATCAGACTCACCCTGTATATACTGACACTTCTCGATAGAAAATATGCCGTGGAGATACAAAATACACGTTTAGGCAACTAGTCATTTTCTTTATTTGGAATCAGATTAGTACTCAATAAGTATCTACCTATGTAACTAAACCCACTCAAGTATATACGTATGGATAAATTGTACAAAACCTGCAAAACTACAAAATCAACAGTTTCACAACGAATAAAAAAAAGCAGAAATGAAAACATTGTCTTTCAATCCAACATCAGGAATTCTGATATTGATAGGTATTAAAGTTAGTTGTGCTATCATCCCATTTGAATCAATATAACCAAATTGATGATGAATATATGCATATATTCCATGTGGCCATGTATCATTGTCACGAATTGATGAATAAATATGTAGACATCGTCATAAATCATTGTTTTTCATGTACCAAGAACGTAAAACTATAATCTTTCATAGTCGAGCCTGCACTTTGATAGCCCAAGCCCAGCCGAGGCTAGCAAGCAGGCGAGACAATGAGACAATTTTACGCCGAGGTGGATTCAACATTTTTTCGTCGACCTCTATGGAAAATCGACTGTTTCTTAATGCATACATTTTTGGTGAACAGTGGAAGGGGGGAGTTTGAAGGGTAAAAAACGGTTTATCTCGATTTCTGGCAAAACCACAAGTCCTATGGAGAAATATTGAATGACAAAGTTGTAGGTAATGAAAAGACCTACAACTTTTGTTATCAGACTTTTTTCACATAAACTCAAAATTCAAATAATCAAGTTTTTGTTTTTTTTATTTAAATCTTATGCAAAAAAAATTTTTTACACGGAAAACTCACTTTTTATGTCCTGAAGACACAGTGACTTCTTTGATTTTAAATATTTATTTTTTCACCTTATTTTGATTTCATATCGAAAAAACACTCTGATTTTCAATCGAAAATTCTCACGTCAAAATATCAGCTTTTCAAAAAAACTCGGGTCGTTTTTCGTTCGTTGAAAGCTCCTCTTTCTGATAATGTGAAATGTCCGTTTTTCAATTCGGAGAATTAAACAGCGTATAGTACTCGTTGAAATAATTAAAAAACTATGAACATATAATTTTAAACGCTTCGTTTCTGAGATATTGTGTCAAAAATACGCTTCTGAATATGTTTTTTTTAATCAAATGTCAGAAACGGTAGATAAATTAACGAAATTTTTCACAGATACTAAACTTTTTGAGCTTTATTAGATCAAATAAAAATTATTCATAAAAACTATTCAGTGGCGGCGGAATCTAGGGTGGCGAAGGTAATAATTACACAAATTTTTCGGGTAATTATTTTTCATTTATTGCTCAAGTTTCAATGAAAAAAGCTCGCTTGTAAGATTTTATACCATTTTTTAGTTAAATAATACTACTTGATATCAATTAACGAAGTAGGCTATGCTCAGTTGAAAGAATTAATGAAGCTTTTAATCAAATCAAATCAAACCCAATACAAATTTCTAGTGCAGTTAATTCTATGATAAGACGTTGCAGAAAATGCATAGAGGTTGGCGGACAGCAATTTGAGAAATTCCCCTATTGGATTCCTTTGTTTCCTATTGATATTCACCTAATTTTATCCTTTAAAAGTTTAATTGTTGAACCATATTTTTTCCTTCGCCACCCCAGATTCAGTCGCCACTGAATATTTTTCATGAATAATTTTTATTTAATCTAATAAAGCTCAAAAAGTCTAGTATCTGTGGAAAATTTCGTTAATTTATCTACCGTTTCTTACTTTCGATTGAAAAAATATATTCAGAAGCGTATTTTTGACACCCAATATCTCAAAAACGAAGCGTTTAAAAGTAGATGTTCACAGAAAGTTTTTTTATTATTTCAACGAGTACTATACGCTGTTGAATTTTCCGTATTAAAAAACGGACCACCCTGTATAATATGATTCAACTGGATTTCAAATTTGACGTTTTGTTCTAAGATTGCCACCATACAGTTACGTTTATCAAAATATGGACCTGGTTAATGTTTAGGCGACCGAGAACAAAGATAATTGCCTTCCTGCTTCACTCTGTGATAACAGTGGTTCATTGTATTCATTGTACCTATTCAGTTTTGATCTCATAATCCGTGCCAGGCATAATTTCATCGATATCGACTTTCAATGGTGTGACAAATGATACACAACTGTCATCACTATCTTCTCGTTTAAATTCTAAGCGTTGTTGTTCTCTGCCAGATTGTGAATCTTCATTTTCAATATTGATTTTGCATGGTTCTTCATCAATTATATACTTATCTAATTCTGTTTCTGTGTTGTAACTGCATTTTTCGTCACTATCATCACTTGGGAATTGGATCTCCTCACGAAAGGAAGCAGTTCTTGAATAGTTTACACACTCAGGTGGATTTTCCATATCGACTTTGGCCAAATTATCCTTGGTACAAACGCTGCATTCGATCAATTTTTCACCCCTATGCAATCTACTATGTCTATTCAAATTGGATTTTGTTGGGAATTTTTTGTTACAGATACTGCATTCGAATGTTTTTTTACCTCTGTGGAGATCATCGTGAGCTCTCAAATTACGAATAGTTCGAAATTGTTTGTTGCAGATGCTGCACTTGAATGGTGTCTCATTAGAGTGAACAATGTTTTGATATCTCATATCATGACATATATCGCATCCGGATGATATTTGTTCATCATGTGCCTTCCTGTGTTGCATGAAATGATTTTTAGATCGAAATTCCTTGTAGCAAATGTTGCATTCGAATGGTGTTTCGCTGGTGTGCATCACAGTGATGTGTCTTCTCAGGAGGGGTATTGAATGCAATATTTTGTGGCAAAAATCGCATTCAGGTTTCATACCAGTTTCTAATTTACTGTGATTCTTCAGATTCTGTTTGGCCCAGAAGAGTTCCTTGCATGGATCGCACCTGAATGGTTTTCCATTCGTCTGAGCTTTGACATGATTTTTTGATACACACCACGTGTGACACATATCACATTCATAATATTTATCTTCATCGTGGGTTGCTCTGTGACGGATGAAATGGTGTTCATTACAAAATTTTCTGTTACAAATATTGCATTCGAATGGTTTTTTAACTGACTGCAGAATTCGGTGAACTTTCTTGGTCAGAGATTGTTGAGTGCAGATGTCGCACTTGAATGGCTTCTCATCAGCGTGATCCATATTTTGTGTAGGTAAATGACTCTTGGAGCTCCATCTCATATTATGACAAATAGTACATTCTAATAATATTTCTTTATCATGCGTCTTGCTGTGTTGCATTAAATGATTTTTAGATCGGAATTCCTTGTAACAAATGTTGCATTCGAATGGTGTTTCGCTGGAGTGCGTTGAAGTGACGTGTTTATCCAGGAGACTTTTCGACTGAAATCTTCTGTCGCAAAAATAGCATTTATCGGCATTGTGTAAGGTACTGTGTTTCTTCAAAGTCTGTCTGGTCCAGAAATGTTTCTTGCATACATCGCACCCGAATGGTTTTTCATCCGTGTGAATTTTGATATGATTAGTCAAATGTAGGTTCGATATGCATCGTATGTTGCAAAAATCACATTCATAATGTATTACTTTATCGTGCATTTTCCTGTGTCGGATGTTATGATGTTTAAAACGAGAAGTTTTGTTACGAATGGTGACTTCTAAAGGCCTATCGCCAGTAAGAGGAATACTACGACTTGTTAGGTCTCCGAGATTGTTTCTTGCAGATTTCGCATTCATATTTTTTCGCACCTGGTGTGCTGGATACAATTATAATTAAATATTGCGATATGGATACGACTGGTTCTTCTATTGTACAACCACCTATAATGAAATCCTCCCAACAAATTTGCTCAGGATACTTCGATAGTATGAATGCGTATTTAATTATACGCAATTCCACTGCGTAGATGTGCGACCGATGTCTGCTCTTCAGTCGGTGGTCGGTTCACCTGTAAATAACAAAAAAATTCACATATTTGTCAATCACTTGGAATGAGTATGAGAAGTATAGGGTAGGGCAGAAGTTCAACTCTACTTTCAGAAGTGCATTTTGAAGCAGATATCCTGCTGTCCAGAAACTTTCACCTAGTAGGTATACACGGAGAGAAATATGTAGAACATATTTTATGGTATAGAAATTCTACCACCCTCTGGGATAAAATATGTCAATCTAGAAAATGTTTGTCTTCCTCCTAAGTAACTTTTTATTCAACATATGATTTTCTTATCATTAGAATGAGCATATACTCATTTCGAATGTATATCCAAATTCTTGGTATATCTTATGTTAAATATTACCATAAAGTATGTTTGTCAAAATGAAAATAATAATTTTCCATTTTGTACCATATAATGCTTTCTTCATAAATATCCACCTCTTATCGAGTATAATTTGCTCTTAAGAAAGCATAATATGTATGTTAGATATAAGGATACTGGTCTTTTCAAAAGAGATAAGTGGGGGTTTCGCAGGTGCGCAGTTACATTTTAGCAGTAATAGTGGGAACAGCTTGGGCGACAGCCTATTGAGTCTTCAGTTCATAATATAGTCCTAAGTTCTTTTGTGCGAGCTATTGAATCTAAGAGTGTGTTGGTGAAAATAACGAATTCGGTAAAATTGGAAACTCTTTTGAATGAGTTAGAGATGACTTTTTTTATGTTCTGGTTCCCACGGAAAGGGATATCCTGATGTGATGATCAGAGAACATCGTGAGAACCAAAGGAAATAAGGTAGGAATTGGTGTTCTCCTTGAATTTCTGGAGTTTATATGCCTCGGAGAACACCTTATTGGCAATGTGTTCCAGAGCCTCGATGTTCGTTGGATGAACGAGTGTTTGGAAAGAGATGTTCTGCAGAACTCCAAAGTGACCACGAAGGGGTGCGAAGCCTCAACTCGACGGGTTAATCTCGCGGAAACTGCCATGGGAGGAACAACTGTTGATATTTCAGAAGAGCATCGTCCATGAAAATATCTATAAAATAGAGTCATTATCACACATTCATTCGTGGAAGTATTCCCAACAACATATAATCTCCAAAAATTCAAAAAAAATTCCAATACCTACCTCCTGTCCCTATCCTCCCTAGGAACGCACGATGTTCTTTGAACATTATAGGGATTCCCTTTTGTGCGCTCCAATCGATAAAAAAAAAAAGAAAAAAAAAAGAATAGAAGAATACAAATATCTTCATTGATTGAACATCCATCTCATAATCATAAATATAACATTATTCCAATTTCAAAAAGAATGTGTCAATATATAGACATATAAAGTCATTAGAAATGAAAATACAGTATTTCATAAGAAAGTATAGTGTATAGCATTTTTTACTAAAAAGTATGTTAGGTATGGACAATGAACGTGTGCTTTGAATTACTATAAAATATTCTCAGATGTATTACAATAATGTATGTTGGTACCTACAATATTTCTCCCATATAATTGTATCATAATACTTACTATTTTTTATTGCTGTCACATATAGTACCAGAAATTTTGGTGAACTGTACAATAATTCTGGTAATACCTGCTATCTATTTTTCTCCGTGTAGTAGTGATAGTGGTTTCAGTAGTGTAGTAGTAATGTATTAGGTTCCCTTGATGTAAATTGACGTATTTGTCATCTTAACAGGGTATACGAACAGATCCTCGTCTCCTCAGTTTCCTCTCACTCTAAAGTGTTTGTGAAACAGTTATATATTGATATTTATCTCTTATGATTCTATTAAGCAGGCACTCCCTTTTTTGTTATTAATGTTTTTGACCAGTGGTGCAAAATTGCATTTTTTTGTTATATTTTTTTCACGTGAATATAACCGAATCGATTTCAATTAAGTTAGAGAAGTATGTAGGTAACCACTAGGAGCACTCAAATATGCAACGAAATAAACTGCTAAACATTATTTGAGTGAGTTAATAATTATTATTAACACAATATTTATAATGAAATTGACATGGGGCGGTATCATGATGAATCGTTGCCCCACGTGGGTTGTTATCTTGAGGGAGAGTGTGAATACTCTTCGGTATCAGTTAGACATTTATTGTGTTAGGGAAGTTGTCGTTTCAGATGCCCAAAACTTTTAGTGACAATTTTATACTGGTTGATGATAATGATAATGAACTACCACATCGTACGAGGATTTTTACTGTAGTTTGAAGACAACATGATATTGCCTACTTCTTTTCCCTTTCCTTCCTATAGGTACGCACTATGTTCCTCCAACATTATATAAGGATATCCTTTCGTGCGCTCCAAGAAATTGAAAAAAAAATTCTCCCGGCATGAATCCGATAAAACAGAGATGGAGAAGGAAAGGTGAAATTATGGATCTTGACCAATCAGAGGACGCGATATTGAAAGAGAAAGATTTTTGTTTGTCTCACTTCCAATGTGGGGCAGTCTATATGACATGCCATCATTTAAAACATATATCATTATCACGTCACACTTTTTTGGGACACCCTGTATAATGGAAATTATTTTCCTGGTATGCGCATCATGATAAAATTGAAGTCTGCAAAATATCAACATCCTGACCCAAATGATAACTGAGCTATAGAAGACGGAAGGTGAGATGCAGGATCCTGTATATCTAATATATTATTATAAAATTCTCCTGTCCCGGTCACGGTGTTAGTGGTCGAACTCCTCCGAAACGGCACGACCGATTCGTATGAAATTTTTTATGCATATTCGGTAGGTATGAGAATCGGTCGAAATCTATTTTTTGAATCGAAAATTCAAGATGGCGGATCCAATATGGCGAACGAGTATTGTTATCCGATTTCATTCCAAATTGGTATTTGGGAGTTTTCGGGGTCGGAGATTATGATTCTTTCGTCGAATTTTGGAAATTCAAGATGGCGGATCCTATATGGCGAACGAGTTTTGTTAAATATGGTCAGATTCCATTCAAAATTGGTATCTGGGGGTTTTCGAGGTCGGAGATTATGATTTCTTCATCAAAATTAGGAAATTCAAATTTGGCATCTGGGGGTTTTCGGGGTCGAAGATTATAATTCATTCGTCAAAATGTTTAAATTCAAGATGGCGGGTCCAATATAGCAGACCACTTTTGTAATTATGATCAGATTCTATCAAAATTGGTAACTGGGGATTTTCGAGGTCATAGATTGTGATTCCTTCGGCATAGAGTCACTGGATGGTATTAGTTTGATAAGAGTTCGGACACAGAAATGACAACTGTTAGGGTTTTTGAATATTTAGATTCATTAAGTTACACACCTTGTATTGTGACAATAGCACCATAGTCGTCCCGCGCTTTTTAATCAAAATTGTTTGAATTTGACAATAAATTTTATGAACGTGAGATTTTGAATAAAATTCTATAATTTTACTTTCGATTAAAAAGCAGCTATGGAAATCACTTGCTGTGTAATAAATTGTGCAAAATCTGATGAAAAAGGATATAATGTTTTCAATTTTCCAAAACAAATATCAACCATTCGCTTATGGAAGGAAGATACGAAACGGCCTAGGTGGAAAATCAATTTCAAGACGAGCGAAATTTGTGAGGTACTCATTAAAATTCACTTCTTATAACAGCATCTGATCAGAATGGAACTATATTTTAGGTCCAGTTTCGAACAGAAGATTTCAAAATCTGTTTGAGAGAATCTGCTGTTCCATCAATTTACAAAGCAGACGATTTCAAGAACCAAATTCCATTATTATCGCCATACAAAATACAGAAAAAAATAATCATGGAAAGAGGAAATGACCGTAAAAATACATAATGGAATTGGAAGTTTGAAAACAAAAATAAGAAAAGCAAGGAAACTACAACGTGATATATTATTGAATGGCGTTTTTAATGCCGATCAAATTGAAAATTCAACAGTGAAAAGTGAATAGTTATTTATGTATCAAGAGGTTATCGTTTTGGAGATATTTTCTACATCGATCCATGTTACTCACCTCCTAGGGCGCTAAGTGGAGTTGCTGATAACTTTACAGAAAAAAGTATCTGATAGGTCTCGTCAAAATAAAGTACTTTTTCCAAGGAAATGTTCATCGAAAAATGATTTGTTCTCTGTGTTTTAACACCCTGTATCTCCGAAATGAAACATTTTCGGACACAAGCTTATATAGACTTTATTTCTTATAATTGTCTCAGGAATACTTCACTTGAACGTATTCATGTTACTCCCTCTATATTTAAAATACATACCTTTGATTAAATATTAATAACTTCATGTTTTAAACTTATCACTGGAGTACAGTTTGACATACAATAAGGAATGATAGCTATAAGTTTATCCATATGTCTATATTTTCTAATATTAAAACGTTGGTACATGCATTCTTTCCATTTATATAACAGTTGTTCTGTTAGAAGTGTATCACTATAAATTGAAGTGGGTGTTTGTACCCTATATCCATTGTCCATCTACGGCTATGATTGATTTGACAGAAAATATAACCTCTGAAATCGTATCTGACAATCAGGTGCTTCTGGGGAAATTGAAAAGACAAAGAGCAGAATATATGTCTTATTCTTTTATTCACTTAAACCATTGTATTATAGAAAATAGAAAAGGACAAAAGTTCAGCTGTGTCCGAACTCTTATCAAACTAATACCATCCAGTGACTCTACTTCGGCAGAATTTAAAAATTCAAAATGGCGGATCTAATTTGACAGACCAGTTTCTGATTATGATCAGATTCTATTCAGAACTAGTATCTGGGGGTTTCCAGACTAGGAGATAATGATTCTTTCATCAAAATTTGGAAATCCAAGATGGGAGATCCAATCGGCGGGCGAGTTTTGTAATTATGAATCGATTCCATTCGAAATTTGTATCTGGGGGGTTTCGGGATTGCAAATTAAGATTCTTCCATCAAAATTTGCTAATTCAATATGGCGAATCCAATATGGCGAACGGGTTTTGTAATTATGTTCCAATTCTATTCAAAATTAGTATATATGAATGTTTTCGAGTAGGAGATTATAATTCTTCTGTCGAAATTGTGAAATTTGAGATGCCGGAACCGATAAAGAGAACAAGTTTTGTTATTATGATCCAATAATTCTATTCAAGATTGTTATCTGGGATTTTCGGGGTCGGAAATTATGATTCATCGTCAAAACTAGGGAATTAAAGATGGCGGATCCAATATGGCAGACGAGTTTTGTAATTACCATACGATTCAACGAAATTTGTATCTGGGGGATTTCGGGGTCGGAGGTTATGATCTTTTGCTTCAAAATTGGGTAATTCAAGATGGCGGATCCAATATGGCTAACTAGCTTCGTAATGAGTATTGGATTGAAAAACTATAATAAAACACGCTTTGATAAATAGCCAAACTCGAGGCCAAACTGAAAAGAAGTAGAGAATTGAATGTATAGTTTAAAAAACTGAAGAGATAGTTTGTCGAACTGGAAAGAAGTAGAAAATAAATAATAGTTTGAAAAACTAAAGGAATGCGATTTTATGGATAGTCAAACTAAAAAGAAGTAGAAAACAAAGTAATGGAAGTGTGTGATAAATATTTAACTGAGAAAATATTTTCAAGAAATATAAATGTATATAGCAAAACAACGTTTGCCGGGTCAGCTATTGCAATAAACAGTAGTTTGAAAAACTAATGAATCACACTTTTATGGATAGCCATCAGACAAAAAAAAAGTAGAAAATAAGATAACAAAAGATTTCTGATGAATATTCGACTAAAAAAATATTTTCTAGAGATAGTGTTTATGGCAAAACAACTTTTGCCGGGTCAGCTAGTTATATACAGGGTGTATCTAAATAACACCAACAAAATTCAAGGGATGATTCCTTGTGACATTCTTGCCAATAAAGTTCATATAAAGACGTGTCCTAACTTGCTCCGTTTTTGAGATACAGGATGTTGAAGTTGTCAGTATTGATTGTTTTCATTTATAACCCTCCTGTATAAGCTTTCATGTTACCCAAATTCAGTATAGATGGAGACCGAGGTAGCCCCAAAATTTCGAAATGATACCAATTGGGATTAATGAGTAATCTCAATGGAAGTCTTGAAAACACCTACATTAAAATTTGGAGTCAAATCGAATTTTTATTGTTTCCACAAAAACTGAGTTAAACCCACTGTGACGCCACTGGCAATATTATTTCGAATATAATTGCACTAGAAGAAGCTTCATATTACTATCAACAAAACCACAAAGTTCCATTGAAATTGATAAAAAGACAATTGAGAAATGACTAGAAAAAATATTTTTCATGGAAATATTAATACCCTGTATCTCGAAAATGCAGCAAGTTAGGACACATAATTATATGAACTTTATTTCCTAAAGTATCAGGGTGATTGCTTCACCCTCGCAATCACCCCTTGAATTTTTTCGGTGTTATTTAGATATACCCTGTATAATACTAAAAGTAATTGAAATCTGATAGATCAACTCAAGATTATCAATTTCACCAAAGACAATAATAAAACTATGATAGAACTGTAGTCATCTTTCCATTTTATAAATCAAATACCTAAACTCTTGTTTATAATAGGTAAGCACTTACAGAATAGTTGGAATAGGTGGTTAGGTTGGTATATTCCTTCTGCTTTCCATGTACAAGCTTCTACTCCAGGTATCAACTCAATTCAGTTGAATAATTATTGATGAAAATATTCAGTCTCCACAATAATTTCAAGCTACTTATTCATAATATAATCAATTTTTCACTTGTGATTATTGCGATTCCTGGTGAAAACACTCGTGAAGTTGATTGAATAAACTGACAGAAAAATTCATAACAATCATGACATAACCTTGATCGTATACCTATCTGTTTAATCGGTCGTCAAGGAGAAGAAGGCACTAGCGTCGAGAGACAGGGCGTAACAAACAATCCATGCGGAAGCAATAAAAATCTATACAGGCCGTGTTCCAAACTTGCATTTTAATTTTTAATGGAAATAATATTAATAATGGATTTTATTGACAGGTACAGGTAAATACAAAATAAATGAAAAATGATAGAGAGCTGAGAACTGTATACCTATCAAACGGCAGAATTCAAGTTCAGATCATTTCACCAGTGAGAGTGACGTAATCAGAACTTGCTCTTCCATTTTGAATACATACTAGGAGTGAAAACTTATTTCACATACCATATGCCAAATTAATAATAACTTTTGTTGCTCCAAACCATATAGAACCAAAAAAACCATCTACCTGCATGTTTAAAATAATATTGTATATCCATTTCCTTTTTCAAATGGGATACTAAGATGTTTTTTACTTGAAAAATGCTTTTATACTGTAGGATATTTTTCTCCTCATCATGAGTCTCTTTACTTTGACATTGATTATTCCTATTTAATACTTGTATTATCCAAAGGAAAATAAATGATTATTATTATTATAATTATGAGAGTCAACAAAGCTTGGAATTTATTGTTCTGCGTGGCATTAGCCAGGCAAGTAGTGGTTTTTCTCCCAATACCTACCATTGTTGTTCATTTTATGAACATTTGTGGAAATGACTTCGAGCTTTTTGTATTTATTTAACCTTTCATTTCACTTTGAGCATTGTGACTATTTCGTAGTAGATATATTAGTCATTTTTTGATCGAAAAGAGTAAGTAGCCTATTGCAAGTCATGCATATACCCTAACAACAAAGGAATGTCCTAGGTACGTCCCTTTTTTGTCCTGCGGTACAAGGACATGATTGGGGCATCCAGGGGTTGTTCTGCAGTGATTGTCCATAGTGGAAATTCCGCCCAGCCCAGCACATCCCTAGGTTATCCTATCCGTGTCCCTGGAATATCTGATATCTATTCATATACACATACATACCTCATTCTTCGAAAAGATCATCACCATCGAAACCCTGGTTCAACAAAAACTGTTCTAGAACTGTTGCCTTGAAACAAACAGCCTACCATCGCTGGCGCAAAAACCCTAACCTCGCGACTAGAGCAGAATACGTTGATGCCAGAAATAACTGCAGCCAAACAATAGATGCTTCGAAAGAAACACACAATGCCAAGATAAGATCGAAACTCATAGATTGTCCCAATGGCTCCCGTTCGTTTTGGTCCCTTGCTAAAGCGGTCGGAAGAAATTTCACTAATAGTTCATTCCCACCACTGTCCAAATCCGACGGCACATTAGCAACAACATCGCAGGAGAAAGCAAATATTTTTGCGGAGATCTTCGCAGCAAACTCTACTTTAGATTCCCAAGGAAAAGTGCCGCCAGACATTCCACCCGTTGAGAGTCGAATGCCCGAAATCGTCTTCCGTCAACGCACTATCAGACGAATTTTGCTTGGTCTCAAAACGAATAAGGCTAACGGTCCTGATGGAATTCCACCCATTATCCTCAAAAAATGTGCACCAGAATTAACACCGATTCTCTGCAAGTTGTTTACCATCTCGTACAGGTCGGGTATTTTTCCATCATGCTGGAAGACAGCTAGAGTCCAACCAATCCCCAAAAAAGGGAACAAGAACCTGCCCAACAACTACAGGCCCATTGCCCTGTTATCAGTTATCTCCAAAGTGATGGAGAAAGCCATCAACATTGAGCTCATCAAATATCTGGAGAGCTCGGGAATCATCAATGATAGACAATACGGCTTTCGCCATCGAAGATCTACTGGAGATCTACTTGCCTACGTCACCCATTTATGGCAATCTTCAATTGAAAAACACGGGGAATCTCTAGCTGTCGCTTTGGACATATCGAAAGCATTTGACCGTGTTTGGCACGAAGGACTTCTACACAAACTACCATCATACGGCTTACCACCTCAGCTATGCCATCTCTTATCGAGTTTTCTTTCAGGCAGATCGCTTCACGTGGTGATGGACGGTGTATCGTCTGAAGCCATTGGCATCAATTCCGGCGTTCCACAAGGATCAATTTTGGCACCAACATTATTCCTGCTTCATATCAATGATCTGTTGGGAGTAACAACTTGCCCCATCCACAGCTTTGCAGATGATAGTACCCTCCATACTGCGTTCTCTTCCAGAATTCCCATTTCTTCCCAGGAAACTAAGAACTCACGGCGCAGGCAGGTCAATGCTGTCAATGAAGACCTTTCTGAAATCACAGCCTGGGGAACAAACAACCTAGTTGAATTCAACGCCACCAAAACTCAAGCCTGCATTTTCTCTAGAAAGGCGGAACTCAGTATTCCCGATATTGTAATGTCTGGCTCCACCATCCCCACCAAGCCCACCATATCTATGCTCGGTATTTCCATCAGCAACACTCTTTCATGGGATAATCATGTCAGATCCATCGCAAAAGCTGCTTCACAAAAACTCGGATTCTTGTTCCGTGCGAAAAGCTACTTCACACCTCAACAGCTTCTCATGATCTACAAAGCGCAGATACGGCCTGTTCTAGAATACTGTTCCCACATATGGGGTTCAGCACCAAAACATACGCTGATGCTCTTAGATTCCATCCAGAGAAGAGCCATTCGCCTGGTGGGTGACGCCACACTCACTCGCTCTTTGACATCATTGGAACACCGTAGAAAGGTCGGCGACCTTTCACTTTTCTATCGATACTTCCACGGGAAATGTTCTTCGGAAATCTCTGCTATTATCCCTCCACTAGCAATACCAGTCAGACGAACTAGACAAGCCCAGTCAGCACATCCCTTCGTTGTCAACCTCGAAAGATGTCGAACAGCACTTTATCAAGACTCCTTCATCCATAGAACGGCTAGGCTCTGGAATTCATTGCCTGAGGAAGTATTCCCAACAACATATAATCTCCAGAAGTTCAAAAAAAAATCCAATACCTACCTTCTATCCCTATCCTCCCTAGGAACGCACGATGTTCTTTGAACATTATAGGGATTCCCTCTCGTGCGCTCCAAGCGATAAAAAAAAAAAAAAAAAAAAAAAAATATCAGTCATCGAATTTCATCAAAATATCGAGTTGTATTTTTTTCAAAACGTTTGGTTTTCTTCCGTGAAATAATTGTAATGAAAATAAAGAATATAGTCTCGGGACTTCATGAGAAATGACCATTTTTCGCGAACAGTAATCGTAAATTCATAATGCCCCTCATTTTTGAACACCCAAGAATGATAATAATTTTATTATACATGAAATCCTAACAAAGTTGTATTTATTCAGGTTTCCGTTTTGTTCTGTTCATAAATCTGTTTAGTATATAAATCTTCAGAAGGCATATTAGCCAATGGAGTGAGATGCGTGCCTGATAAGATAGAAGCCCCGGGTTCTATACCTACTTGATCTACATTTTTTTCATTTGGCGTATGGATGGCCCTGGAATATCCTTGGGACGTCTTAAGGATATCCTTTCTTCGTACTCGGTACATCACAGGGACGTATTAGGAGGACATCCCTTGGATGTTCTTTTTGTCTGAAAGTGGATGTCCCTGGGACGTCCCTAGTATGTACTTTGTCCCGATAAAGGATATTTCTTGTATAAAGTTAGGGACGTCCCTGGGAAGTCCCAAGGATTTACATGTGTTGTTAGGGTAGCTAAAATCCCCTCAATCTAAAATTTGAATGATCTAATAGTAACCAACCTCACATCAGTATAGAGATTTTCAACTTTTCAATAGTGAATTTGAAGTTCTTGCTTTTTTTGAAATCTTAGAAGTTGATGAAACCGATGAAGTGATAATTCAATGACCCATCAAATTATAATACGCTCGTCTCGCAAAATGACGCATTTCTTAACTGTTTACGTAAATATCTAATGTAGACGATTTCACTAACTTTTCTGTTATTCGGATGCATTGATTTCAACATTGGAGGCGGGTAAAATATACACAGATAAAAAGGAGTATTAAATTCAATGCGAATCGGCATTGATTCCACCATATATGAAGCTCTTGAATAGATTCAACCAAATATATTTGTTTGATTTTTCTACGGAACTTTCTTGAAGTATTCATGAAAATAATCTTGATTCGAATGAATATTTATTCGTTATCACAGTATACGTATTGGTCGAAAAAAGAATTCATTTCTTTGAAACAATGAAATTCTCCTATTGTCAAGTTAGTCTCCAATCATATAGTTAAACAATTTTGTTCTTGAATCAAGAAAATTCGAGCTTGTTACAAAGAGATATTGTCCAAAATTGTTCTAAAACTGTTCTATGCGTCATTCGGTTGCCCCCTTACGAGCAACCCTCAGAAGTCTTCGAAAGTCTTGTGCGAGCAAGGAATGACGGGGGCCTTACCTTTTAACGTCCCAAACACTCATTATAATGAGTGGATATTTTTTCAGATCCTCATTTTCGTGTGCCAAGAGATCATTCTGAAAGAAATCAAAATACAGCTTGCTATCAGAGTATATTGATGGTCTTCCTATACAAGGAATAAAATGAACTCTCACACTTGGTGAACAAAAGGCTTTATCATCATAACTTATTGGTCATCCAATTATAACATACCAAAAATGAAAACATGTATACTTAATATAAATGAAGACAGAAACATAATGGTAACATAATCGAATAGTTACCGTCTGTAGCTCGATCTAAGAGGTGAGATATTGATTTTCCTATAAATTTTTGTGATTTGCTATCCTCGTTTTCTTCCCCAGGATGTCAGTGTGCTTAAGACCTAGAAAAAAAGGTAAGATCATCATTTCAAAAATACCTTTGCGTGTTTTGCAGAATGGTTTGATATAAAGAACTTTAGATGAAACAACAATTTCATTTTACACAGCCAGACATTTTTTAAAACAAACGAAAGTCCAGGAAAGTCAGATATTTCCTGGTTTCAAGAAATTTTGCGTTTGA